GTTATTTCGGGGTTAAAACCAGGACCTTTTGGACTTGGGTATACCAAATAGTAATTAGTGGATCATAGATGACTGGCATTTTCCTGGGAAATAATTAGAAACAGACAGAATCTGGCTATGCTATGTAGGAGATGTTTCCTGCTTTCCACTCAGTATTTTCTATCTTTACATGTTGTGACATTAATGCAATCAAAATTCAGCACAGAAAAGAAGTATCTTTTCCAAGCAACTCAAACCCTTGGGATATTCAGCTACGGCAATGTGACACAGCCATAAATGACAGCGTCTCAGCTCCCAAACACAATTTTCTCTGTTTCATTGGAGGTGCTTTTTGTGAGGAAGTTCTGTAGACTGGGCTTGCCTCCTTCTTCTTAGAAGTTCCTCATGGTAGAGGATGACTTGCTTCCACACCTGAAATGAGTTCTCAAATGATTGAACAGTCTAATGCACAACTTATAGTCTCAGTCACAGACGATGGGTTGGGGTGGAAGGGAGGAAGGGGCCCATCGGTTGCCATGCACTGCTTTCTCTGACAACACCAGAGTTCAACTTATTGTCTGCAACGAGGCTCAACGTATAGAGATCATTCCTAGATGCTTACCCTCCAGTTTGGCCAATCTCAGGCCATGATATCCCAGGAGTCGATTGGAATACTGCACTTTATAAAAGAGGTTGCAACGGGGCCCTTGCAGCATTCCCATGTCCTCCTGGAGCTCTCTCGCCATGTCAAAGTTCCGTGAACAAAGCATGATCCAGGAGTCTCATGTCAGGAACGAGGGCAATGTGGCCCATCCGGTGGAGCTGATCGAGCACGGTCAATGTGTCAACATTGGTGATGCTGGCCTGAGCGAGAATGCTGACGTTGGTGCATCTCTCCAGCCAATGGATTTTCAGGATCTTGCAGAGACCGCGCTGCTGGCACCTCTCCAGGATTTTGAGGTGCCTGCTGTAAATAGTCCATGTCTCTGAGCTATAAAGAAGGGTGGGTCTCACTACTGCTGTACAGACCACGAGCTTGGTGCCAGGTCTGAAGTGCTGAACCTGGTCAGCAATGATCATTTACAGTAGGCTCCAAAAATCTGGAAAGTGGTGCACCTTATCCCAGGCCTCACTGTGGATTTTGATAACTGAAAGGGGAAGATAGTGGTTGATAGAGGACTTTTTTTATTATTTACATTTAGTATAAGGCCCCATGCTCTCATCTGTCTTGGTGAAGGCATTGGTGAAGGCTTGGTGCTAGCATGAGAATGCGAGCAAACACAAACATCAACTGTATCTTGAGGTTCAAAAGCAGTGGATGAAATGAACTTGTAGCTGACCTGCAGTTGGTGGAGGTTGAACAGGGGCCCATTAATTCTGTGGACTAGCTCCACTGCACCAGGGAGTTTGCTGAGGGTGAGGTGGAGCATTGCAGCAAGGAAGATCAAGAAGATGATGGTGCATTCACATGGCTTTGCTTGACCCAGTCGGAACATGAATTGGGTCTGTGGTGAATCCATTGCTTGTCATTGTGGAGCAAGCACAGGATGATGACAAACCTTTAGGGTGGTCAAAACAGCACAGGACACTCCGTAATCCCTCGAGGCTGACACAGTCACAGACCTTAATGAGGAAGTTGGTGGGAAGTTGGTGCTACTCCCTGTGTTTCTCTTGTAGTAGCCACACAGTGAAGATCATGCCTATTGTGCCTCTTAGAGGATGGAATCCACATTGTTACTCTGGAATTAGCTCTTCAGTCACAGGCAGAAAGTGATTGAGGAGGATTCTCGGATTTCCTTTCTCTGTGGCTGACAGCAGAGAAATTCCTTTGTAGCAAATGGAGTTGGACCTGTCACCTTTCTTGAAGATGGTCATTAGTACAGCAAATCTGAGATCTCCTGACATGCTGTCCTTCCAGCTAAAAGGAAAGGAGGTCGCGTAAACATACTAACAGTGCTTCTCCACCATACTTTCACAATTCAGTGGGGATTCCATTGGCTCCTGATGCGTTATTGTTCCTTCGCTGTCAAATAGCCTTTTCCACCTCAGGCTGGGCTGGGCTGAGATGGCGATGGGGAGCATGCTGCGGGTTTCAGCCAAGGACACTTGCGGTGAAGACAGAGGCTTTGTTCAGGAGATTTCGAAGTGGTCCTTCCACTGGCCGCCAACTGTCCCTCAGTCCTTGCTGAGCAGGGACTAATGTGAGGGCAGGGTCCTCACTGGCTTCCGATGATTGGAACAGCTTTCTTGTGGGAGCACAAAACCCAGGCTGGGCTGTATTCTCTCGAGCACAGTAGATTAAAGCGGCAATTCAAATGAGGTATCTTAAGACAATCAAAGGAGTTTGGTGGTTTCTTTCTGTAGACCCTATTTCCTCCGGTGGGAGAAAGTCAAAGCTGAGATTGATAGGTTTTGAGTCTGTAAGGGTATTGAGAGATAATGAAACCATAGAGGGTCCCTAACACACTAATCTGCTTTGCTAAGTTCCTTAGACCCCAAAGCCCTTGGTTATCTATCTTAATGTTATCATCTTCTGTGGATTAGTATCAAATATTTTTTGGCAACACTCCTGTTGGAGATATTTTACAACATCGTATAAAGACAAGATACAGAACAACTATGACCAAACAGCCAGTACAGGGTCCAGGTACTGAAAGATTGCCCTCTATATCTATGTTTCAAAAGCCAATTACACCATCACAAGATAACTAATATAACAGAGTCAGAGTCACATACTAAGTATTCTTGTACAACTGACAAGATATAACCAAAATAGCTGCTGGCCAATCAGCAGATTTATATCTTGCAGAAAGAAATGAGAAGCAGAAAAAAAATGTAATATCTGACTCATTATTTTGAACAGAAGCCAAATGATGCAAACACTTTGTTTCCTCCTGTCCTGTCTCTCTGGGTACTGTATTCAGTGTTGTAATCATATGACATATCCCACAAGACACCAACTCAGTCACATGGAATGAAGTCACCAATGAGAGACTTTTTTGTGCACTGAGACAAAGTGCAGCTCACAAGCGGGGTGGGGGGGAGATGGGGGAAATCTTCCTGAAAGTACTTTACAACCAATAAACTACTTTTGAAGTACGGCAACAAAGCAATTTACCTACGGCCAGGCTGCATAAGAGTTAAATAATCTATTAAATTCATTTTAGTTACCACCTGCTGCCTGACCTCCTACTCTTCAAATAAAACCATAGGTCACACATCTGATCTGAATAAAAGTTCCTGCAAACATTCCTCCAGGGCTACATTGAAGTCTCAGTCTAGATTACATGCTGGAATGGGGCTTGAACCCACTTTCCAACCTCACCAGAAGGACAAAGAAACCAAACACATGGGAACAGCATACACGGGAACGTCACAATCTGCAAGAGCTGCTTCGACCACACATCATTCTGTCTCGGAACTATATTGTTGCTCCTTCACCGTCACTGGGTCAAAATTCTGGAACTCTCATCCTAATTGCATGGTGGGTGTCCCTGCACCAAACAGAATGCAGTGGCTCAAGATGATGGCTCATCATCACCTTCACCAGGAAACATTATGGATTGGCAACAATGGCTGGATGCGAAAGAACAAAAGGCGGCAGCAGGAATGCTGTGAATGAGGGAAAGCCTTCTTTCCCAGATGCACTCCACAAATTAGCCTTGAGCAACCTTATCCTGAATTGTCTTCACAGGGTGAACATAGAAACAACGTGTCTTCTTGTGGGTCAGTTCAGAACTAAGAGTGCTGTTTTAGGACACAGATGAAGGGAATGCTTTTCATGTCAGAAGATTCGGCAACTTTGGAACTCTTTCTTTAGAACCTCAGAAAGCAGTGGAGATAGGGCCATCGAATGCTTTTAAGGCAGAGATAACCCTTGATTCCCTTGGCGAACAAGAATCAATCTATCAGGTTGGGGAGATAAAGGGAATTCAGAATTCAAAATATAAATGGTCAGACATGATTGCATGGCATGGCAGAGCAGTCTTGAGGGGGTGACTGGTCAACATAAACATAACAATAAATCAAACTCCTGCCTCCAATTCACACAGCTGCTCATAACTGCAGCACCAGTGGTGGGGGGGGGCGGAATCCAAAAGCTGGCCATGTGAAAGGGGTGGTACAAAAGACAGCAGGTGACGAATGGGAGGGGTGCAAACATGATGAGAGAGTAGTTGCAGTTAATAGTTAGGGTCCAGAATGTGCTGCCTTGATGTTATGAGGAGGAAAGTTCAACTGAAACAATCAAGAGGACACTGAATGAATATTTGGATAGACATAACGTGCGAGGTCATGGGGGGTGTAAAAACAGGAAATTGGCAGTAGGTGATGGTGTTCATTTGGAGAGACGGTGCAGACACTCCTTCTCCACCTGTAGCATATCTGTGGGTATCAAGGGCAGAAGGAAAGGGGCACAGGGATGAGTCAATCCAGGGTTTTAGAGGAAGGATCACTGGACCCAAAACATTAACTCAGATGCCACCAGACCTGCTGATTTTTTCCAGCAACTTCTGTTTGTGTTTCTGATTTAAAGCATCCACAGTTCTTTTGGTTTTTATTCAGGGATTTATGATGGTTGGGTGGGGGGGAATGTTGCTTTGATTGTTGGAATCACGCAGCACACAGCAAATCTGCAGAGTTTAACTCTGTGTGAGGGGAGGGGAGGGGAGGGGAGGGGAGGGGAGGGTGCTTTGTTGGGATCATGCTGTGCACAACAAACCTGCAGAGTTGATCTGGATGGGTGCGGGGGGGGGGGGGTGGGGGGGGGGGGAAGTAAGTTGTAGTGGTAACACAGCAAGGACAGTGAGAGGGTTACCCCCAGGGAGGTTCAGTGGGGCAAGGTCCTCCCTATAAAAAGGGGGGTGGTGGAAAACCGGGCAGTGATGTCACGTAGGTGACGTCATTCGCAGTGACATCAACCCATTCGTCGGCACGTCACCGAGCGAGACATTGGCCGTTGCCGGGGCGACCGAGCCCCCCGCCGCCGGCCATCACCCTCCCGCCGATCCTCCCACACTCACCCGCGTCTCCATGTTCCGCTTCCTCCGGAATCCACTCGTCTGGCCCCTAACTCCGGTGGTGGTGGTGCCGCCGCCGCTCCGAAACTCACACGCTCTCCTGACTGAGCTCTGATTCGCAGTTAAGGCAGCGGCCGATCTTCCCCCCCACTCCCTCTCACCCGGCAGGAGCTTGCCACTGTGTCTCCGCGCCCCCCTCGGCTCCGCCTTCTCCGGCCGCCCCAGCGCCTCAGCCACCCTCCCAGCGCAACGACACCTAGCGCAGCGGAGGGGGAGGCGACGGCCGCTCAAACAGGGTGCGGCAGCGCCACCCGAAGACTCGGCGGCGTTACTGCGGTCCAGTGTCAGTTTGCCAGCGACCTCTCCCTTGCAGTACAGTACAGAGGAGGCCATTCAGGCCATTCAGTTTGAAGTTCAATTCCAAGGAATTGTTATATCGCACTCAAAACGTTAACTCTGCTTCCTTCTCTCTCTCCACGCGGATGCTAAGAGAGACTGAAAAGATGGAGAAACTCAACAGGTTTGGCAGTATCTGATGAAGTGTCACCCCACTCGAAACATTTACTCTGCTTTCTTCCCATATATGCTGCCAGACCTGCTGATTTTCTCCAGCGTTGACAGTTCTTTGTTTTATTCTAGATTGGTTGGCATTGTTTTCCTGAGAGCAGTGAAGGATGAGGAGGGGGTGGAACCTGACTGAGGTATACAAAGTTATAAGGGACATAGATAGGGAGTAACTTTCCCCCTTAGTAGAGGAGTCAATAACCAGGCAGCACGTGAAATAACTCCACAGAGGCAAGGATCCCATCCTTAAGCCACCTTTTATTTACACTTGAACGGTCCTTGACTTCAGTACTGCCTCATAATCAGGTACAGAATATCAGTATCTGTGACACTCAACCTTTTAATATGTCAGCCAGGGCTCCCTAATTGAACCAGATTAACAGCCCCAATTCGGGAACTTATTTTCTATGAGGTCCAACTGGTTGACCCACATTACAATTACAATGGCACAGTTTGGAAGTAAACACCAGGAGCTTTACAAGGATTTGAGGAAAAGCGTTTTCACCCTCCAGAACTTGCTGCCTAATAGGGTTGTAGAGACAGGAACCCTCAGAAATTTAACAAGCATGTAGATGAGCACTTGAAACACCATAGCGTACAAGGTGGAAAAAAAGGATTAGAATAGATCGAGAGATAGCAGGAACTGCAGATGCTGGAGAATCTGAGATAACAAGGTGCAGAGCTGGATTTTCTGAAGAAGGGTCTAGGCCTGAAACGTCAGCGTTCCTGCTCCTCTGATGCTGCTTGGCCTGCTGTGTTCATCCAGCTCTGCACCTTGTTATCTTAGAATAGATCGATGCTTGATGACAGGACAGGTTTAATGGCCCCTTCTGTACTTTACAACCCTATGGCTTTTTGTTTCCAAAACTGTTGTTCTCCAGCACTTTCTGTTTTTATTTAAGCTTTCTAGGACCCACTCTATTCTACTTTTATATAAGTCCAGTCCAGCTTTTTCAGAGAAGCCCAGTTAGTCCCACTCTCCTCCCACTCTTTCCTCATGACCCTACATTTTTCTCCTTCAAGTATTTATACAATGGCTTTTGAAAAGCTGCAAACCAATCTACTTCCACCACACATTAGACAACAGATTCCAATTCCTAACCACGCCTGTAAGAATAGATTTTGCACAATTTATCTCTCGTTCATTTGCCTTAACATTTGTGCTGTTTTCTTATCAAGCATTCAGCCACTAGAAACTTTTTCTCATTGTATACTCTGCAGAATGCTTTGTGCTTGTCAAAATCTCCATCAAATCTCTTCCAATCCTGAGGACAACACCCAGCATCCCCAGTCTATCGAGGTAACTGTAATCCCTTATTCTGCAAACATTGCTGTGCTTTCTCCGAAGTCTTTAAATCCTTCCTATAGCATGGTGCCCATGATATTCCGGTTGGGATTGAATTCATGTTTAAATCAGTTAAACATAAAATTGTTTCTTTCTGGCCACAGTTAGAAAACCTTGTTCGTGTATGCCTAATTAACTTCGACATAACAGCACTATTTACATCCATAAACATCGACCTACCCAAAGAGACAATTGCCACCTGCTGGACGAATCAGGAAGGCAGACACCCCATGACACCAACAGCATCAACAAGGACAGCACCCTGAAACTGCTGGATCTGTGCCTCTCAACCCACTTCACCTCCAACAACTGCATATTCAAACAAATCAACGGAACACCAATGGGATCCCTGATATTAGGACTGATAGCAGAAGCGGTAATGCAAAGATTAGAACAGACAGCACTCCCCACTATCCAACCCAAACTCTGGGTCCGCTACGTAGATGACACCTTCATGATTATCAAATGCACAAGACGAGAAGAAACCCACTGACAAATAAACAACATCACCACCGGAATAAAATTCACAGAAGAAGAAAACAATAACCAACTACCCTTCCTAGATGTAATTGTGGAAGGTAAGAACAACGGGGAACTCCAGACAAGCATATATAGAAAGACCACCTGTACGGACCAGATACTTAATTACACCAGCCATCACCCCCAACACCCATAAACGGAGCTGCACCAGGGCATTATTCAAATGAGCCACAACACACTGCAGCAACCCAGAACTGCACAAAGCAGAACAGGAGCACTTCTATGGAGATTTTAAAAGGAATGGATACCCAAAAAGTACAATCTGCCATTACTTCCGCGACAGACCACAACAAGAAGATACAACACAGCCAAACACACAAGTCACCCTACCATACATCAGAGACATATCAGTGATGACCACAAAACTACTCAGACCCCTAGGTATCAGGATAGCCCACAAACCAACAACCACCCTACAACAGCTATTGATGAAAGTAAAGGATCCCATTCCCACAACCAATAAAACCTACATAATATACAAAATACTATGCAAGGACTGTGAGAAATGTTACATAGGCAAAACTGGAAGAAAACTGACAATACAGATACACGAACACCAAAACGACCAGTTCTCATTGATCTCAGTACACACAGACAAAGAAGGATCAAATTCAACTGGGACAACACATCTATAATAGCGCAAGCCAAACAGAGACATGCCAGGAAATTCCTGGAAGCCTGGCATTCCAACCAGAACTCCATCAACAAACACACTGAATTAGACCCGATATTCAAACCACTGAAGAACAAAACCGGAAGTGATGCCAACCACCCCAGCAAACCAAGGCATATAAATAACAAGCGAGACAGAACACCAACGCTTCACCTGAGGTGCACTGACGATGTAACCTAGCAGGGTGACAAAACATCTGCAATCAAACACACCAGCTCAGCAAGCAAGTCTACAGCCTTGTTAACCTTCAAAGATTTGTGCACAAACATCCTCGGGTCTTTGTTCAAACACCCCCTTGAAAGTTTTATCATGTAAGCTTGCATTGTCTCCCAATCATTGTCTCTTGTTCTTCAGAATGTATCATCTCATGGTTTACTGTGTTGAGGTTCTTCCTCCTTAAACACATCGTCCAACATTGGGGCAAATAGATCAAACAAGATGGACATTCTTTAAGTGAGATATTAAACTGGAGCCCTCTCTGCTAATGAATCAGATAAAATAATACGTCCCATTGGAAGAAACAAAGGATAGTGTTATGATCCCAGCTGATGATGCTACTGGACAAGTCAGATCCCAGAATGATCATACTTTGTTAAGCTACCGTGGTGTCGATCACTTAAGTATAGATACATGAGGCTGTAGTGTTTCTTTTACAACAACACAGACGTTTATCATGCAAAAGACAAAACTGAAAAACACAAACCAAGTTATCTAGATATGGTACACACTTAGGAAAAATGTCTTAAAGAACTCTGCAAGGCAAAGTTTCAATTTTTCCTCAACATCATCACTTTTCAGCAATTCAAATCCATATAAATTACACCTCTATATCAAATCTTTATGTTTGACGTGTGATTCTCTCAGTTCTTTCCTTTGAAGTGTGAAGTTTTCTTCTACAGAACTGAGAGCTTAGACTTTCTCAGCTTTTTAATAACCTGCAGATATCTAACCAAACACTCCTGGTCTGGGTGTTACACAAAATAAACTTTTTTTTTCCCCTGAAGAACCTGTAATTTCCCTGACTGTTCTATAGTTGTTTTTATAAGAAAAAAAAGTATTTGCTTCTGAGATAAGTCAGGTCTCCACTGAAGTGATTAAAAAAATTTGGATTTCCTAAGCAAAAATCAACTTTTGATACCCTGAACTTAAAATAGGCTAATGATCTTCAATTTTTACCTCACCTATCATAAACCAGCACACTGCAAACATTCTTCCATTAGTAATCCAAGGGTTCTATGCTGTCTAGCTCATACTGGATTAGGTCACTGTTTAGGAAGCACTGCCTAATAGTTTTTTTAAACACTTCACAAAAGTAAAACATATCCCACTATTTTAAAATCCAAACTTCTATATTTAGATATAAATCAGACATCTTTAATCACACCTCCCATAGAGAATAAAAATATATCCTTCAGTGGCATTTTCATTTCCCCCACTACAAAAATTCTATTTAACACTATTTCTATGTTACATTAACAGTAATGATATATTGACATTAAATATGCAATAAGTTTTTTTTATTGTAAATGCAAGTTAATTAATTATTTATTTTGCCTTTAATAATTCAGTGTGTTCAAGGTTTCAGGAAACAACTTCAATACCGAGGTAAGTCTGGGTAAGTAACGGCCTAGTGGTATTATTGCTATTGTATTGATCCAGAAACTCAGATAATATTCTGGGAACCTGGGTTCAAATTCTGCCATGGCAGATGATGGAATTTAAATTCAATAGAAATATCAGGCATTAAGAGTCTAATGATGACCATGAATCCATTGTTGATTGTTGGAAAAACCCATCTGGTTCGCTAATATCCTTTAGGGAAGGAAATCTCTATCCTTACCTGATCTGGCCTACATGTGACTCCAGACTCACAGCAATCTGTTTGACTCTTAACTGCCTGATGTGCAATAAATGCTGGTCTGACCAGAGCCACCAAGATCCTGTGAATGAAGAAATTTTAGAAGTAGTACTTTTTGTCCTAAATTTCCAAATTTGTGCAAATACACAACTTTAAAACCCAAAGAGTAAGGTGAATGAAGAAAGAGCTTCCCAAAGCTTTTCCCATTGTAACC